GGTCCCGCAAGTCCTCCTCCGTGACGAAACCTTGCTGAAGAAAGCGCAGCGCCCGGGATTCCAGTTCTCCCACATAATCCCCCGATCCAGTCTGGCATCCCTTTACTGGCTCAAATCTGAAGATCTTCCCACGCTCCTCCAGCTCCTCATCCGTCGTGTCCGGTTCCGGCTCCGCCTCTTTCTCCCCCACGGTAGCAGTGGAGCCGAAGTCGGCCAGGATGGAGGTCGCGACCCATTGGCAGAAGCTTGGTGGCCACTGTTCTGTCCCTGTCGTGCTGAAGGGAGCCGCTGAGCGGCTTCGCATGGCAGTGGCCGTCGGATGCCGGGGCAGTGGTCCTGTGTAGAAGCCAGAGTCATCGTAGGTGGGCAATCCTGCCCGCATGGATGCTGCCAGCGGTTGACGGGTCCGAAGCAAGAGTCGCGTCGGCTTTGCGTATTCAGTGCCAAAGTCGGCCTGGTGGAAGGCCGCATGCTGAGCCCGCGGGTGCGAGGACAGCCTACGGAAGCTCGGTCGTTGCCACATGGACGAAGGACGGCGGTCCGCGTCCAGGGCCCCCAAATCCTCTGGTTGTTCAAGCAGCAGAAAGCAGTCGGTCAACTCGAGGGCCTCGCCGGCAGCGGTCATGGCAAAGTCGGCGAGGTTGTTGCCCAGTTGCGCTTTCCGCCGTTCGGCCCAGCGGAGGCCAGGCAGCCCATCGGGATGCGCAAAGGACCTGAGAGGCCGCGGTCCTTTCCTGTTCCGCCAAGGAGCGCGACTGAAGGTCGAGCAAGGGGGGCTAAGAATCACTGCAAAGTAGTAGCCCGACCGAATGCGTTCCAAGAAGAGATTCTGTGTATCGAGATTTGACAAATCACAAAAGGGTTTACGTAAGATGTCCACGGCATCCACCTTGAGTGAGATCCCGCTCATGCGTGCTAATTTGGTGAGCCAAGCTTCCAGCGATTGTTTGCGAGGTCGTCCGCAGAACAGATAGAGCACCCGAAGCTCACCACCGTGAAACACACCACCGTCTGTGCCGAGTCAGTGCTTGCCAGCAGTGTCGCTGCTTGACTTGCGCTTTGGGCAACCCACAAAGTTGTGATTCTGATCGAAGCAGTGACTACAGACATGCTTGAACTTGCAATTCGCCAAAGTGCACCCCTCCTCTGTGTTGAATCTGAAGCAAATTGGATCCCCGGCCCGAGTTGCTGCGTGTCCTCGGAAGGCTCGACCAGCACCGCGGCCTTTCCCCTTGGCCCCCTTCTTGCCCTTTCCCTTTCCGGGAGGCCGTGGGATCCAAGTATCCACGGATGGCATGCCGGTATCCTGAGGCTTGCGTTTGGAGTACATGGTGAGGGGAGTCGAGAAATGGCGCTCCTTAGTAACGGGATCCTTCCATGCTTTCTCCCACGCCACAGCAATCGCGAGGTCCTCCACGGTCATGTAGTGGAAAGCCTGTTTCCTGATGGCCTGTTCGTATGCCAGAACCAATTGCCAAGGCGGCGTGTGAATCACATTGTCCGAAGAATCCCTTGCTTGCAAGTTATGCACATAATCCCCCAGCAAGTATTCCTTATAACGTTCAAAGAGATCCGAGTCCAGGTCACGAAGGTCCGCTCGGCCTGGAAACTTGAGCTTCAGCATCAGATATGCATTGCGCATGATGTTCAGACGCCGTCGGAGCTCCTCGGGATTAGCCGGGAGCGCAACGCGGGAGGATCCCCGCTTGACAGTCATCTGCCCCTTTGAATCCCAAACCGGCATCAAGGTCTCCGGGTCCAGTTCATCGCGGGCTGTGACCTCCTGCAAGGATTCCGCTTTGAACTCTCCATGTTCGACCTCCAACAGCTTTCGCTCCAGGTACTCTTTCGAAGGCAGGACTTTCTCTTCCAAGGTGCCATAAGTTTTAGAGTAAGCCTGACGGAGCAGAATATATTCCGAAGTGGGAATCGGCCTTGTCCATTCCCGGGTGTCCTGTTCAGCCTCGGCTTCCGCCTGGCGTTGCACACGGACCTTCGATGCTTTCCAAGCCGCGATGAAGGAAGCCACCTGCCCACGAGCTGCCAGACTGGTCGTGGGATCCAGCTGAAACTCATCTTTCAAGACTGCAAGCAGATCTGTTTCCCCTGAAGCAAAGGCGCTAAACTTGTCAAGCGTGTCAATGCCAGCCGTGAAAAGTTTACGTAGATGCTCGGCCTCTATCCCCTGTCTCTGCAGCAGAAAACGGAGGTCAGAAGACCCCAACGTTAGCGGATCGACCGCTGGCCCCCCTGCTCCGGCAGCAGGCGCTGGCGGCGGCACTGGAGGCCCACCACCTCCACCAGGTGCAGGCAAAGCCATGCTGCGCCCCCGCACCCAGGTACGGCCCGTCCCGCTTGAGTCCCAAAATTTCGGAATGTACCGAAATGAGCAGAAGCACACGCTTCCCTGTCTCCAACGCACTCACAAGAGCCTGCGTTCTATCCCGAGTGGTGGGGTACTTGCCCGCACAAAGCCCTACGCAACGCTCTCAAGAGCATGCCACATTGTGTCCCGAGAAGCTCGCCGCTCGCCCTGACCCTTGTTTTCTCAGATTCCCGAGACTTGATCCCACGAGGCCGGGGGACTTGATGCCTCCCCCTCGTGCTCCGAATTGGATTCTGAAGAACCCGGACCTGAAGAGTCGTCGCTCGACTCCTCTATCGAGGGCCAGCAGAGCTTGCACCGATGTGTATATTCATCGGGACCCGGCATCTCCGAAACAAAAGAACTCTGGTTAAAATGCCGTGCACGACCCATCCAGCAGCCACTTGCCCCAGACTTATGGAGCCTAATGGCCCCCCGGCGGGACGACACTAGAACGAAACCCTCACCGCGCTCAGGAGGCGCCTCGCAATCCCGGTCGTCCTCCCCCGCGGCTGGCTCATCGTCCTCGTCGTCCTCCTCCTGCTCGGCTGGGTCCTCTTGGGACCAACTCGCAAGAGAGGCCTTGAAGAGATCCACAATTTTCTCTGCTTCGTCTGCAATCATACCTTGCCGAGCCCTCAGCCAACGAAAAGCAGCATCAAAGACATCGTAATCGTCAACATCCCCGGCAAGGCGCAGTCTCTCTAGCTCAGCAACGAAATAACGGTGGATCCTCCGAATCTTTCCCGAGAAACTCCGACTGTAAACGTCACTGCCCTCTGGTCTCCAGCGCCCTAGTGCATCACGGTCCCTTGGATCCAGACCGAAGCTGTCGAGGATCGTGGGCAGCGTCGCCCTCTCGCTGTGCTCCGTGCACAGCTCCACCAGTTCCTGGGGGACCAGACGACGACCCTCCAAATCCACGAGCCTCCTAGTCACCGCAACCGAAAGCGTTGCGGCTTCCGAATAACTCGCCATCCTCTTCTTGAAGTGACTGAAGTCATCACCCAAAGCCGGAAGCAAGTAATCCCTCTCGAAGTCCGCATGAACACAGAGCAGCCGCCATCCTGTTGAGAGCCAATCCTTATTACAAATCCAGGAATCCTCAGTGATTGCGATAGGCAGCTCCACGTGTCGTCTCTCTGGCCCACTAGTCTTCGTCTCATAAAGAGTGGCAAGAAACCTACCCCCGTAGAATCTGACTGACCCCGGCGAAAGGTGCTGCACATCGTCATATCGAAGCGTGCCCCAGCATTTGATCAGCCGATACCAGGCCCCCACGCGGATGCCCAGCGCCTCCGCCTCCATGGATACGAGGCGCTCCAGCGCCGCGATCACCGCACCTGGGAGCCGCGGAGCACGACAGATCGGGACACCAGGTTTCTTTAACTCCTTTACGATCACATCCCTGGTCGAAAGAAGCACAGGCTTTGCCGTAACCCGTTGGTCAGTGCTGACACCAGAGACTCTCTCGAACCAGGCCAGCGATTTCAAGAAAGCCCTTGGAACTGTCGGCCCGCAAGGTTTTTCAGAGAGCATGAAGAGGTAATCGATAATATCACCCGCTTTAAAAGGGGGATCCCTCAGCCTGGCCCTCGCCATCCAGAAAACCAGCTCTTCCAAATAACGTAGATAGCGCTTCAAGCTGCTATTTCGAATGCGACCAGCAACAACAGAAGATGCACGTGCCGGCTCCACATCACTCGAAAACTCGCTCAAGCTGGGAGCCCCAAACCTCCTCAAGAGAGCAAGAAATCTGATACAGAGCGCCAGCCTCTCCTGCTTCTCAGCTTGCTGCCGGTCTCCCTCAGAAACCTCATCGATGGCCCGCTTGCGCGAGCGCGGCTTGCGCCCCTTCTCAGGTAAGGCCAAGCTCGCAAACCCAGACCCAGCTGAAACGCCAGCCCCCGTGGTCCCTCGATCCAGTCCCTGCAACAGCACCCATGAAACAGCATCCCCATGAAGCCCTTCTGATCGTTCCTGCAGTGGTGCCCGACGCTGAGCCTCATCTATATGATGCACCAGCCAGTCAACAAGCTCGTCAAATATGCAGAGACCCAGTTCGTCCACGAGCTGCCGGGCGATGCCGCCAGCATCATCAACCGAGACCGAAGCTAAGGCGGATCCCCAGAGCCCGGCTTCCCTAAGCTTTGCCAAGCATCGTGCAGAGGTCTCCTCGTCCATCACATCATGGCGAGCCCACCTCTACACCGAGCGTGGCCAAGGCCACGGACTACCGAAACTCCAAGAGCTTCAAAATCTCACCACTTGACCCTGTGGCTGCCATGCAATAGACATGATTCGCATGCAGCATAAAATAATCAATCGAGATAAAAAGGAAAGAATCTCTGCAAAGATTCATGCGTTCAATTTCCCCCCAAAAGGGAACGCCCCCAAAGTCCAGCTTCTTCGAAGCCCAGTGTCCTAGTTTCCGGAGACAGAACACTCAAAATCAAGTAGAAAATAAAAGCTCCCAGGAGCTTTTGCCTCCCGCAAGAAAGGGTACACGCAGTGTACCAAGCACATGGGTTTGAAGAGCACACACACTGACGCAACAAGTCGCGAACGCGGCAACTTATCGCAAGAGGAGCGGCCGTCGACAAGCAACGAGCAAAACGCTTGCAAATCATACACATCACACGCTGTCAAGGGAGTGGGAACGTAGCGGACGCAGCCGCAAGCCCACATTTCCTCCAATAACCGGATCGCGGGGCGATCATCCTTCGGTGCCTCGGCGACACCCATCAGATCATCTTCTCCCTCGTCCTCGGAGGGCAACGAGGGCTCGTAGTCACTAAGATGGTCATTGGCCTCCGCACTGATCTGTGGTACTTCTACTTCTTGCTCTGAGGGCGCCGAGGGCGCCGGAAACTCACGAACTTCCGAATCACCGAATCGAACCCGCTTGGCCGGTGGGCCTTGAGCGGGCGGAGGGTCCCGACCAAGCTCTTCAAGAGCGTTGTCCACAGCATCTCGGAGCCACCGCTGGTAGCGCCGGACGCACTTTATTGAATGGCGAGAGGACGTGGCCTCTTCGGAGCATCCGGGGCACTTAGGGGTGCCACCGTGCTCGCAGAACCATTCTTTGGAGGGTCCCCCTCCCGGCACGTAGGGAAGGTGGAGCTCCCGAAAGCGCTCCTCATCCAAAGGTGGCACAAAGCCTTCCAGAGGCCTGGCACCGTCAAGCAACGAAGCATCATATCGAAGAGGGTAGAGCAACTTCAGACCCGGCGCAACAATTAACTTGGTTTCTCCAGAATCCAGCCGGATACGCACCTGGTGCCCGGTAGAACCAAGCACAGGACCCAGGTACACCCCACGGGCATACTTGGAATCAATCTCCTCTTTGCTAGAACGGCTGACCTTTGCGAAAACGACAGCCCCGAAGGGATAGGTCAACTGGGGCTTGTGGTCGTGGCCCCGCAGCTTCTGCAATGGAGACATGGTGCTCCCGACCGACACTGCAAAGCGATTGTGCACATGTGCCGCGTATCTGAAAAGAAACTCTAAAGTACCCGGATCATCCCCGAGGACAACACCATTTTCACGAAGTTGTAATTCGTGAGAAGACACAATTCCTTTCAAGGTTCGCACTGCTCGTTCAGCAACAGGAGCGTGGCGCTCCGGAGCAAAACTTTCACTGTGTCCCTCATACCGTTCCGCTAGGGCCTGTGCAATGCTGATGGTCAGCGGTTCCGGATCTGAGTAGAAGGAGGGCTTAGGAGCAGCGCTCTGGCCTAGCCCAAAATGAGCTAGCCACGGCTCGAGATGCCCGGCTGATTCGCGTCCACTCATCCCTTCTGGTCGGAACGTCACTCCAATCGCAAAAGCAAGCACATGCACTAGAATAATAAAGCACCTTGAGCGATACATGAACTGATCTACCTGATACTCTTTATGGGGTCTGTCACTTCGCATGCGGGCTGGCGTCAGCCCTCGGCTTCTGTTGCAAGCTTCACAGCTCGCCCAGTATGGCACGTGACCCTGAGAGACATGTGACAGGCGCTTGTGCAGCTCACGGCGTGTCTCCGGATCTTGTGACATGATCAGCTCTCCCTGCCCTGCTGCTAAACCCAAACCGGCCGGACCCTCTGGTTGCGTATTGGGCTCCTTGTTGTGATTCTTCTGGTTGAGGGGGTCCTCTTCCTGCAACGGGGCAACAACAGCAGCGGAACTGAAAACTGAACATGGCTGACCGCAGAACTCACACGAAGCGAAGCGTGCACTCTAGAATGTTTCCATGCATGCTGGTGCGTTGGCAAAGCAAAAAGGCCATTATTCATGGCGTCGGGCTTCGAAAGCTGTGAGACGATTACGGAGTCAGGCTGCGAAAAGATCTCCTTGGCGGAAGTGGCGGCGGGTTGATAACCCACGTTCCCGATGGAGGTGCCGGCGGTGGTGCCAGTGGTGGCCCCAGAACGCTCCCCGTTGGGCTTGAAGTAGGCCGGCTCACGGTAGGAGCAGGAGGTGGGATCGGCAATGCGGTGCGCGGACGCACTCGCCGAGACTCTGTGGCCATCTCCGCTGCAATCCTCCAAGAGTCTGCTTCTGCCTCCGTACAGATCCCGAGCCTCATCCTCGTGTGTAAGCTCTCGCCGCTGGGCGAACTCAGCACTGCACCCGGAGGTGGGTAGCTGCGCAGCACCCACGAATATGTTGGTGGAGCCGAAACCGGTGGTGGCGGAGGTGCCGGAGGCGGCACACTGGGCGACACGTTGGGTGGCGATGGCGCTTCTTGCTCCATCCCTGTGTCCTCGGCCATCTCGGTGTCCTCCTCCACAGGTGCCACCAATGGCGCCGTCTTGGGCGGCGTCTTGGGCATCATAGACCCGAGCCCCTTCGGATCCACCGACTTGGGTGGTGTCTTTGGCTGTAGATCCCCGCGGCCAGCCTGAGCTGGCTTCCAGCCACCCCAGTTCTCCGAGTCCGTGGGCGAATTCGGAGGCGTCCACCCTGGTGGTGTCTTGACAGGTGAGGTGAAAACGGCCTGAGCTGCCACTCCCTCGCTCAGTGGAGTTAATGCCCGCGCTCCCTGTAGTTGTTGAGTCGAGCGCTGCTGGACTCCCAGAGTGTCTGGCCAAGGCCGCCCCCTGGCCTTCACCCGTCGCGGCTCTGGCTGTGTTGGAAGCACACGGCGTTCCACTGCTCGCGGAGGCTCTGGTGGTTCCGCCCAGATTCCCGGAAGTGCATTGCTGGATTTGGCTGTGGCTTCCGAGTTGTCCTCTGGCGGCAAAGTTGAGGCATCCGCCTTCGCCGGTTGGTTGCTGAACCAAGCCAGTTGGAGAACTAGCTCCCTCGCCTTCTTGATCTCGGGCTCGGCCAAGTCCGGCATACGAAGCTGGATCATCATATCGATCCTTTCGGGATCGGAAAGCCTGTCCGGTAGAAGCCTCAAACCAGGGCGGTTCCTGGCGATCCACGACTTCATGTGGTGATTGTGGCTGTCGGACATTAAATGAGCCTCCGTCGCGTGTTTCCCGCAGACCATGCAGTACTCGCAGTAGTTGCGGTTGTTGTGGCTCAGGGCCTGAGGGCTTGACCACTTCCCCTCTGGGGCAATATAAGGAGGGGTCCAACTGAAGCTGTTGACCCGGTCCGCGAGGCTCACCCCCGTCGCCTTTGGGGCAGGTGGCCCTCCCACCTCCTCGTCGGAGGATATCTCCATTGCTTCCGCCCGGCCTGTCCAGCCCTTTTTCGCACTGGCCTTCATGCTAAACCCTTAAGGCTCAAGCTTGTGCCTTGGCGATCTGCGGAAACCCTCTGTTCACCTACATTGTCGCTCGAACTGCACACACCGTCATGCACAACCGACCGACCAACCAACCGACCATGCATGCCAAGCAAACGCTCTTCAGAATCACTGCACGCAGGTTGCACTACAGAAACTGGCTGCACTGAAGAGTCACTAAAACCTGGCTGCACCCACTGGCCTCGATCGGAAGATGTGGTCCCCGAGCGCAAAGGTGAAGAAGATGGATCCACGGCACTCGATTGCAAAAGCTTTACCACTCTAGCAGGCAACTGACCTACCAACTGCACTCCAGGGCTGCCGCAAGACGATTGACCTACCAACTGCACTCCTGAGCTGCCGCAAGACGATTGACCTACCAACTGCACTCCTGAGCTGCCGCAAGACGATTGACCTACCAACTGCACTCCTGAGCTGTCGCAAGACGACTGACCTACCAACTGCCCAACAGAGTCCTCGCAAGCATGTGGCAAAACACTCGGTTCAACATGCGTTGTTTCATGCTGTTGTCGTGAAAAATCATGCCCATGCTGTGAAAAATCATGCTCATCGTGCGAAAACTCATGCTCATGCTGTTTCTCAGGTGAGGAAAACTCAAAAGACCTACCACTCGACAGACCGCAAGACGACGAGACACTCGCAAGCGTGAGCTTCGCGGAAGAATCAGCCATCACACTCTGAAGCCATGTGCAGTCGCCGAACACTGCTGGAAGCAGCGTCACCTCATTACTTTCCGCTGTTAAGAGACCCCGGTAAAGGGTAGGCATCCAGCCTCTCCAACAGAGGAGGTTGAGGTTTATCAGGTTGTGTTTGATTTCGCTGCTAACTACCGCTTCTAGACGACAGGTGCACGCAAAGGTGCTCAGAACTCCTCCTCGCTGCTCAAAGTGTCGAGTGGTGAGAAAATTCACCTCGATCGTCGCGTGGGTGTCGCTTCCCACTTCCACCAGGTCGCCAGTGGCAGTCTGGCACACAGTCTTCGGTCGCTTCTTTCTCGACAAAACCTTGACGTGTCCACTCTCAAGCGTCGCCTGGGAAACCACATGGTACGAGCTCCCAGAGTCGAGAAGCCAATAGATCTTCTCTCCCGACTCAACGAAGGAAGGTGCGACCATGGGCATCGCAAAGTATGCTCCCTCAAGGAACGTTCTGACGCCCTTCTCTGTTCCCTTCCCAACGTCGCCCTTCGTAGTGGGCTGGTTGCTCGGCGCCTTCGGCGCAGCCTTGGCAGCTGTAGCGCTCCCCGAACTCTCCGCAGCGCCTGTCGTCACAGTGGCGTTGGCCTCGTGGGGAAACCGCAGCAGCTTGCTTCAGCCAACAGTCGCGGGCCCAATGTCCCTTCTTCCCGCAGTTGTGGCAAACGTCGGTCTTCTTGGCCTTGCTCTTGGCACGTGCAGCTGAACCCTTTCCGGGCTTCTCCTTCTCCTTGTTGCCCTTGTCTGCTCGCTCTCCTTTGCCCTTTCCTTTGTCTTTACCTTTCCCTTTGTCTCCTTTGCCCTTCTTGCCTTTGTCGCCTTTCCCTTTGTCACCCTTGTCGCCTTTTCCAGCACCGAGCGCGTTCAGGTAGCCGTGGTGGTGCTCCTTCTGGAAGTTTAGCACTCGAAGCTGCTCGTCGTAAAACTGCAGCCCTTGCAACATTGCATCCAGACCGCTGGTGGTCTGGTGCAACAAAAGGAACTTCTTCGCGTCCTCGTCCAGGTGCTTCAAGACTCCCAGAACAGCTTCTTGCTCGTGGACCTTAAGCTCAGGGTACTTCTTGCCAACCTGAGACTCAAACTTCATGAGCTCAGTCATGTACCACCTCATCACATCAAGTGGTCGCTTGAGGTGCTTGGGAGGGTGAAGATTGATCATCTGCTCCCTCAGCGCTTGGCCCTCCACCCTCGAACGGACCGAGAGCTCTCGGTTGAGCAGGCGCCAGAACTCGTATCCAGCACTTGCTCCTTTCTGAGCAACCTCGATCAGGTGGATGAGGTCCTGGGCTCTTTGAAACTTGCTCAAACTCTGGCGTAGCAAGAACCAAAGCTTGCTGGACCGCGCTGCCTTTCCGACGTCCAACGTACTCTGCTGAACTGGGACGGCGCTCTGCTCTGACTCGTCCAGCTCTTCTGCGAACCGGTCGTCAAGCAAACAGAGCCAGCTGGTGAGCTCCTCCTTGTAAGCACTCCAAACCCGAATCTCAGCATGCCTCGTGTTCATCGAGGCAAAGTTCAGCTGAGGCAGAGTCGGAATGTAGCTCTCTGCCCTTCTAGAGCGGATTCCCGTGTCAACTTCCATTGGCGCGGGACCAAAGGTGTCACCCGAAGAGCTTGCAGGCGCGGTCGCAGCTGCACTGGCACTTGTCTGGCTGGCGTTCTGGACACCAAGCACTGCCAGGTCCTTCACCAGGTTAGTGAGCTGCTGCACTTGGGCCGCTTGAGCCCTGATCTGCTCGTCCTGGGCCTGCATCATCTGCCGAAACAGATTCACAGTGTTGTCGTCAAGGCTTCCAGAGTTCACTGGCAACTGTTGAGGCACAGTTGGCGTAGGAGGCTGTTGTGGTGGCGTTCCCAAACTGAAGTACTGCGTCTGGTGCGCAGCCTGTGCTGTCGGAGTCTGGCCCGCAGAGGCTAAAGGCCTCAGGTCTACTCCGGGACGGTGTGCAGAAGGGGAGTTGGCTGCCGGTACACTTCTCGCACGCACTCGTGGCACTGAACCAGACCTTGCAGAGAGGCTAGAACTCAAACGACTAGCTCTCCCACTCGAGTCACGGCTCCTCCCTCTCGGAGAGCGGTCTCTCCCCGCTGCACCACCTGGGCCATGGCTTGCCATGGCTCTGGAGCACGAAGCTCCGCTACCACGTTAGTTTCCGAGGGACCTCTAGGGAACCTTCGGGGCCTCTGGGCCTCTCACACACAGCACTCAGACAGAGCGGGCACGCTCCACACTTTTCACTCTGCTGTTCTTCAGCAGTCCGAGTCTTGAGCCAAGCCCGGCACGGCTTGAGGCTTCAGTACACAGCTCTCTGGACTTCAAACACTTCACAGCTGGTGAGCACTAACAGCGAACTTGGGCTTCAGCTCTCTAAACACTAGAACTGGCTCCTGATGCCTCTTAGGCATCACGCTGTAGCTCTGGCGAAAGCAAACAGGCTTGAGACTCTTCACAAACACTCCAAGCGTCCGCAAAGCTCACTCTGAGGTTCGGGCGGGACGACCGACAGGCGGACCGACCGACCGACCAACAAACCGACAAAACAAGGTTTCGAAAACATGCGAAATGGTTTCGTTCCAAGCTTTCACCATGCCAAAACAAATCGTACTCACATGACATGCAAAACAAGGCTGTGCAAGATTTTCCAAAGCAAGTGTAAGTGCTTCAAATCAACAACTGGGAACCTTAGAAGGCACAAATCAACTACTTTGGCTGCCCTCATGGGACAAACCTTTTGTCGACACATTGATGAGTTGCTCAACAGTCCGGATGGACTCCTGAGTGGACACACATCGCCATCTTGGCTGCTCCGGCACAAAAACGCAGCTCACTTAGCATCTTGGGGTGCGCAGACTCTTCCAAAACCTTTTCTCTGTGGTGCGTTCTGGTCTGCATGGACGCTGTGTTGGAGCAAACGGTGTTTTGGACAGCTTAGCAGTATTCAGCGCTCATCGCAGTCGTGCGTATCGCCTCCAACCTCTTAGCCAATGCTCCAGAACGGCTGCGTCCGCTCATTGTTGTGTGGAAGGTCTCTAGCAATGTTGAAATGATCGACCCGTGTTTGACCATGTACCTTTCATTAAGACAGCTGCACAAGCGGCAGAGCTGGAAGACATTGCCACGGTTCAGTTCGAGGTAGCGCTCACATGCTTCTACTCACACAAGAGCGTTGCAACTGCGATATGCCTTCTTACAGTGAGATTGAGATCTTTCTCAACATGTGTCTGTTATTGTGATAGATGAGAGGCAACAGGAGAGGCAGTCTTTCTCTACCATTCTTGCCAATGCGGAAGGCCAGCTTGTTATTCGCACAGACGACCCACGACAACTCGCTAGAGGCAGCAAAGGCAAGGTTTGATTGCAAACGTTGGCCTGTCTCACCACAAAGGTCGGAGATCCGGTGTATCCACACTCCAGTCGCCTTAAAACTTCCTCCAGTCGGCATCCCGAAGGTGCTATCTCAACCGTCTATTGGCAGTCGGCGCAATACTTGCGCCATGCAAGCTGAAGTCCCAGCTCCTTTCAACGGAGTTTGCTTGAACTTAGCCCTGGTTGCCTCCACCTCATTACTGGCCGATTGTCGGGTTATCCAGCACTAGGTCGCGAATCTGCGTCTTGGCCAACTCCAACTTCGTCCTTACTCCAAAAAGAGGACATTCTGACAACTTCCGGCATACTGTGAGACTGGTGCCTGGAGGTGGCTGGGCGCCTTGCCATCATGGCAATGTCCGAGACTGGACCATCTGACTGTGTGAAGCCGTCTCTACTGGACTGCACCAAGCCACGCAGTGCAGCGGCAAGCCGCCTCGGCCTCGGAAACCGGCTGCGAAGCCAGCTGAGCAATTCCACGGATGCCAACAGGTATGGCGATGTCGGAACAAGGGATAAGTATTTGGCGGCGGACACTCCGCACGGCGACTGCAGCAAGTTGCAGCTGATGGCTCTCATCAGCGGTAAGTGCACTTCATTCGATTACCGAAACAGACGTTCTCTGCCATGCACCAGAGAAACTTACTTCGGACTGCTTGAGTTTACGCTGCGGTTTGCTTTTTACCGTCTTCGAGAGTACAAGAGCGTGGGCGTACCTCCCAAAGACTACAGTGCGCTCCGTTCCACTCACCATAGCTCGTTCGACGCACCTTCGATCCGCTAGCAGCAACAGCGTGTCGAGCAAGCCAGCTTATCGGAGTCGCTGGTCACCGCTGTGCCGGGAGCTTCCACCTTTGTTGCAGCGTTTCGTACCGTCACAAATACGTCACTCTAACTCTGAAACGGTCATGTTGCCGCCGGCCTGCCACGCGCCCTCTACTACGATCCCACGGACCCGGATAGGAGTGCCTGCGAAATGGGATCCTGCGCTGATCGCAGAGACGCAGTAGAGACTCTGCCTTGCCGCCTTGTGCCAGAAGTTGCATTCATTGCCAGCCGGTGTGTAGCGGCTAAAGATGAGGACGAATTCGAAGAGCTACCAAGCTGGAGCTGGCAACTACAATTGTTGCCCAACTGCCTGACCTTGCTTTCCCTTCTCTTGTCTCTGCCTCCTAAACCGGGCTCTCATGTTGCGACGCTGCACTGTCGCATTGGCTCAGTTTTGCGATCCTGTTCTGCGTCTGCCTGAAGGACGAGTTTTTGACCTTTCCAGCTTGCTCGATCTGAGATGGTGGTAGCGCTTCTTCGATGAGCTTGCAGGACAACCCTACAGCCGCTCCACTGCAGCTCACCAACGTTACTCCGACTCGTGACGAGGTGAAAGTCAAATGCGAGGTGCCGGCTGCCCTAGTGGGCCGCCTCCAGATTACCACTGCTGACCGACTGATGGCGGGCTTCGAGAGTGGAATCCGGCCAGACGCGATCCAGGCACATATAGAGGCACTTTTCGCCTGCTCTTCCCGCTTGTAGACATCTTATTGGGTTTGCAGGCACCTGCTGAATAGCGCTCTGCGGCGTCTTCAAGCTGCGGCCACCTCCGAGAGCTGGAATCTCCACAGCGCCTGCTCGACAGCTGGCCGCGCGGCTAGGTGACCCCCACTTTCACCTGCCGACCGTGGGACTGACGACATACGTCGTTGTGTCGATACTTCCCTGGAGCTTTCCGCACGGGCACATGGCCTACGTCAAGGCCGGGCTCAACTGTCTGGGCGCGAGCTCTTGCCGCCATGCCGAATCGGACTCCGAGACTGCAGACTCGGTTGCCAGTGCACCTGGCAATGGGACTTGGGTGGCCAGGTTGTAACGGACCCCTTGAGGCAAGTCGCCTCTTCTCCTTTCCTCGTGGAAGCCTTGCAACCGACGACATACGTCGTTGAGGTTCTTTCCACCCTCCATGCCACCCCTGCTCTGACGCTATGCACCACCACTTGAGTCTAGTCTGGGTCTGGTGTGCACGCTCGAAATGGATGATCATGGTCACCGGGTTGCCTTCGTGGAGGGGCCCTGGCTGGCGCTACTCTGTGGTTGCGATGTATCATAATTTGCTCCCTGGACATCGCAGGTGCAGGCTTGGTTGCCAGTGCAATAGCAATTGGATTGGGTGGCCTGCCCAGACCCCCGGGTGGATCTATAAATTAGATCCACCACTCATGTCGGAAAATAGAGACGATTTCTTGAATGGATCTAAAAATTAGATCCATTCGCAATCGTTGTACGGAAAATCTTGACATCATTTGAGCATTATACAAAGCTTGAGCCGTTTGAGCCAGTATATGTAGTATATTGCATCATGAGCATTACAAAAGCTTGACCCGTTTGAGCCAGAATATATCGTGTATTGCATCATCGGAGCATTATACAGAGCTTGAGCCGTTTGAGCCAGATAAACCAGAAGCCCCAAACCCGAAAAAAACTGAATTAAGCGTTTTGGGTCGAAGTTTACGAGAAGGAGAGCCAGGGAGAGGGAGAAAGAGAGAGAGTTTGCGAAGGTTTGGGCTTCGGGGTTCGCGGTTGAGGAGTTTTGGGGTTTTGAGGTGCTGGTTTACGGTTTTTAGTGGTTCTGGACTGCGAGACTGCCTTTTTTTCCACTCGCCACCTCATTCACTCGAGCACTCCAGCTTCTTTTGCTGAAGAAAGTTGCATTTCCAGTGAATCACATTCGACCAAGTGCTGCGATGAGCAGAACGAGCAATCTTGGCTATGACCCCATTCAAGCTTTCGTCACGATAGGTGGAGTACAATCGCGGATTCCCTCGGTGAAGAGCCCGCTGAATCATGTGCACAAGAAGATGACATTTCGGCCTCCATACACCGCCCGCTTTCAAGTAAAGCGTTAAAAAGCGTAGGTACAGCTGCAGCAGGGCCTGGCAATGTTGTCGAGTGAACTGTCGGCGGAATTCCAACTCCAGCAGCTCGTCCATGGCATGGGCAGCTTCTGCACAAGCCGTCAAGAGTGCGAACTTGCGAGCCAGCTCATCCGGCTGCTTGGCGAATTCATCGGCATACTTGTGCAGCAGCCAGAGGACGAATCTAAGAAGACCGTGCGACTCAGCTGCTTTTGCCGACAAGTTGTAGGTATCCTCATTTCCAATCATGCCCATAGTCAAGTTCCAGACCTCGGATCCCTTCTCTCGCCACCTTTGGTCGGTAGATCTCAGGTTCTTGTAGAATTGAAAGAGCTCGGCTTTGATGGCCAAAAGGGCCAGTTCTCGAAGTTCTGAAGCTTCTATATTCACACTGCGGGGTGAAAACACACCCGAAGCAATGAAACTATGCATAGCCAGGCTTATGAACTGCTGCATGGGTCCGAGGTGCCAGGCGTGCATAATATCAATTGACCAACTATCCTGTGTAACCCCCTGGAGCGAAAACAGAGGGCACATGTGGGTCAGCCTTGCATCTCTCGGCGCAATCCAAAAAATCACCCTCAGAGGAAGCTCTTGGTATTCCAGCTGGCTGACATCTGGAAGCCGGCGGCTGGGCTCGAGTCTCCAGTTCTTGCGGAGGCCGTAGCGGGGCAAGTCTGCAGTGAGATGTCGTCCACGATCTAGTCGGCTGTATTCAAGATTTCTGGCAATCGTTCGCAGCATCTCCGCCGTATCCACAAGAATTTCCTTTCAGGTGGGCTCGATCCGGTTTCGACATACGAAAAGAAAATCAACCCCAAAAGATGAAGCTA